CACATATGGGCACCGGTTCAAGACCCGGCTGCTCCACTTCTGACCCAGCTCTCTGCTATGGCCTGGGATAGCAGCAGCAGATGGCCCAAGTCCCTGGGCCCCTGCACCCACATGGGAGACCCAGAAGAAGCTCCTGGCTCCTGGCTTCAGATCGGTGCAGCTCCAGCTATTGTAGCCAACTGGGGAGTGAACCATCGGATGGAAGACCTCTCTCTCTCTCTGCCTCTCCTCTCTCTGTAACTCTTTCAAATAAATAAATAAATATTAAACAAACAAAAAAAAAGGCAATGGTGAGTAAAGACATCCCAAGCATTCTGACAAGGCCAAGTAAGCACCACATGTTAAGAGAGAAAATCAGTAATTAACTAGGGTTAAAAAGCAGCATAAGTAAAACAAAGGGGAGTTGTAAGAAAGATTAAAGTTGAAAGTGCATCTGATTAATCTGAAAGATTAAAGATTAAAGTTGAAGTGCATCTGAAGTTCAGGAAAAGCAAACTGATATTCCTGACTTAAGATGCTAATTAAATGCTTTAAAAGGAGACGAGGGGCACTATGAAAAATAATAGCAATGACACACTTTCAAACCAACAGAGGGAGAAAACAGATACTCAGGAAACTTGATTACGTCACAAAGTAGGATTAAAGAAATGTACACACCATAGTCAATGTCTTTTCAATTTCATTTGTTTCAGTTATGGACCATTTGAATTTAATCTTCATATTTTCAGTATCATATTTATGCAAAATTCTTTATCAGAGTAATTATACTAAAAGTGTAAAATATTTGGAATTGGCAACAGAAAAAAAAACAATTTTTACTTAAAAATTAACAATTATAGCAAAATCTACCACTTACAGATTTGTCTCAAGCACCCAAAGAATAAAAATCACCTTTTCATCTGTGACAAACTGCTCATTACCACCATGTATGGATACGGAAGCAATAACAAAGTCTTCAGTCAGAAATGAACCAACTGCCTCGATTCCATCAAATATATGATGCCATCAATTAAAAGACATTACGATGTCTTGGGTAACCAAGAGAGAGAAAATACTCATACAATCAACTAAACTACAACACCACTGCTGTGGGATGTATTCCAGATTCAGGCATACTAAAATATGTCCTCATCAATTCTCCTTCTTTTGGCTAAGATCAAGTGTAGTATCTGTTCTTTTCAGTTTGAAATGTGTCATCAAATTACTGATTTCCCTCTTCAGTTCTTACCCCTGGTAGACAAAACTTGAAGCTTAAGTGTAAGAACCTTAGGAGCAAACTTGAGAGCCAACAGTACTGCAGCATATGCTAAGAGAAACATGGAAACACTGTTCTGTATTTCTGGAGGCATCGATTTTAAGCAATAATAGACTTACGTTATGTTAGAGTTCAGTAAATTCTAGGATCCCTCCTAGCTTTAAAATTCTTTTGTTCAGATTTTAATTGTCCTACATATTGTTAAATTAATCAGAGAAAATTCAAAATTTAATAATAGGATATAGGAATTATCACTTCCCTATCATGCTGAGAAACACTCTAAGTATTCCCTCAAATAATTCTCAAAAACTTAGCAAGGGGGCTTGCTACTCAGAATGGCCTGACCCCAAAGTCCATGCTCTCTCCACCCCAGGACACCAAGCTGTGTCCTGAATCCCACCAGAACAAGTAGCATAAGAGGCCTCCACACAGACTTCTGATGAGCCCATTTCACTTCCTTCCTACTTACCTGGCTGAAGTCTTAAACCGCTCTAAGAACTGAAGCCGCAAGCTCTCATGGCCAGGGAGGTCAATCAAGGTCAGACTATTGCCCTAAGGACAGTAGCAAGAACACTAAGTCAGTCTTTCAGTCTAGCTCCAGTCTGGCACCTAATTAACGAACGAATCAAACAAAGGTTCACAGAGCATCTTCTACTTATAAAACATTCATCAGAGCCAGGCGATGCAGCAGTGCAGACTTGGTTCCTGATGCAATACGACTTATTATGGGAAAGATGAACACAGTGCCGAATTTCAGTGACACTGACAAGCATTCTGAGGGTACATGTGCATTCCACCACTGTCTGGGAGAGGCAGGGCAGTGTGGTCAGTCTGAGGTTGGGGAGTGTACCAGTATGAATAAAACCAAAAACACGTGAAAACTACTAACAAATATTCACAACCTAAGCATGTGATTAAAGAACCTACAATTCACCCCAAAGCATGCTACTAATACTGGGATTCCCAATCTTTATAATAAAGCACCCTTTTATCACTTACCTTCAATTTTTAAATATCTATCTACTGGACACACCACTGATTTGCTCTAGTTCTGTCAACAGTCTGTCAATTCTGGAGCTCCTAGCAAGCAATCCCATTATGTACTGTTCAGTGCTGTTCATCATATCCTTGGCCTCACATGAACACAGATGTGGCTGTGCTCAATGGTAAGACTCTCAGATGTGGCTCTCATGCATGTTATCAGACGCCTTCCCTAAGCAACAGCCAATCGTCACCATGGTTCAGCAGAAGGAAATCAACACTGATATGGATCTCACATAATTCCAGCCAGACTAGTATGACATTCCAGATAGTCTATGCGGTTGTTTGTAGACAAACTGAAATATCTATCAGCCTTTTCCTCTTTTTTAAAAATATTTATTTGAAAGGCAGAGTTAGAGAGGGAGAAAGAGATCTTCAGTCCACTAGTTCACTCCCCAAATGGCCACAACGAACAGCACAGGCCAAAGCCAGGAGCCTACAACTCCATTTGGGTCCCCAATATGGGCAGGGGCCAAGTCCCGGACCATCCTCCACTGCTTTCCCAGGTTCATCAGCAACACGATAGATTGAAAGTGGAGCAGTGAGGGACTCAAACTGGCACTCATATGGAATGCCAGTGGAGCTGCAGGCAGCAACTTAACCCACTGCACCACAATGCCAGCCTGTAGAGTCTAGGAAAAGGTCCTCAAGATTGCAATTCTAATTCATCCGCCCCTCCAACCAGCTACCCAGACCACACGTACCAAAACTTATCCCACATTATAATCAGTGTGGCAGCACTGTCTAGTTTCTGAAGTTACACAGGTAAGTAAAAAGTCTTTTCGTTCTTTATGGGTAGTTTTGATACAGACTTAAGTAAACTATTTAAGATAGATAGCCATTGAAGCACTGTTTATAAAAACGTAAGACTGAGACAGCACACAAAATGAAGTATCTATTAACAGTTCATGAATCACTCAAGTATTACTCATGTACAGAAACGTGAGGGGGGAAAAGCCAATCTATATTCATCTTATTAAATGAAAAAACTCTGGCCAGCACAGTTATAAAAGAGAAATAACTAGAAAATATACACAAACATAGAATATACATGCACAGGCCATCTGGAAGGCTGCTCATGAAGTAACAGTTACTGAGTGGGCAGTGGGAATAAGAAAGCACAGAAAACTTTTTATCAAATATTCTTTCAACCTTTTGCATTCTTGTTCCATATACATTACTACCTATTCAAAACACAGAAGGGAAAAGGACTTAATGTCCACTCTGAAGAGCTCTTAGTAAAGTGGGAAAGACCAAGAAACAAAAAATAGGATGGCATGCAGCACTGTTGTACCCAGGCACAGCAAAGCAGGAGAGCATGGTTCAACCTGCCACGCCAATCATCCAGAATAGAACTGTCACGGACAACAGAGTTCCCCACAGAGATCAGCCGCTGCTGCACCTGCATCCTCATCATGCCAGTGAGACCAGCACACTCCCACACCCCACCAGCATCTTACCCTATTATTGTTGACTCTGTATGTGGCAGAGCTGTCCGTAATGGACGTCTGGGTGTCTCTGTAATGGCCTGTTAACAACTGTAAAACACAAGGTGAGAGAGATTGAATTACTAGTGTAATAGCAAATCTAATTGCATTAATACCATTCTAACTCTCCCGAGGGTAAATTTAAACAAATGAACACTGCTTGCAATAGCTAAAAACCTCACCTGTTCTCCACAGTAAAACACACTCAAAGATACCAAATATACCGCATCCCCCCCAAAAAATTAGTGAAAACTAGCTCAATCTGACAAAGAAAGATTGACGTTTAAAAATGTCTTTGGCAAACTCTAAAACGGGTTTGTTACTCAAGGAATTATGAACCGTGCGCAGGTCAATGGCCCCCACATCTTAGCCACAGAAAGACACCTGCTATATAAAATCTTGCCATGCGATAAGAATCCAGCAAGGCCAAAAGTACAAGTACTCTCCAAGGATTAGTGAACTGCCCGACCCATCCGCTTATCCAACAGCCCCGCGCACGCGGGAGAACCGGGTCGGCACACAGAGACGTAAACCAAAGTGCTCACCCTGACGAACAGCAACGTCTTCCCGGAGTCGCAAAGGCCGAGCAGCAGCACCGCTCTCTGGCTGCTCCTTCTGCTGCGGACGAGCTTCCAGAACACTGTGGAAGGCACGGGGAACGGCCCCCGGCGTCACGCCCGACGACCCGCAGACGCGGGGCGGGGTGGGGACTGAGACCTCTCGGCCAGCAGCGCTTTCCTTCCGGAACTGGACTGCCACCACCACCATCACAGCCGCTGCTGCGCTCAGGGGTGGGGTCCCACCGGGGCCCGCACCCTTCTCCCCGACGGCGGGCACCTCACGGGCGCTCTCGTCGCCCGCGCACCCCAGTGCCCAGCTCGAAGCGCAGGACGATGCACGTCGGGTCTCAGCACCAGGGGTAACCCGCGCCCTTCGGGCCAGGCTGGCCCCGCCACGGGTCGCCGGGACCCCTTCAGCTTCAAGAGGCAAGCTTTACTCCTCAGACGCCCCCGCCCCATTAAAGTGCCCTCTCGCCCGCTCCGCACCCGCCATAACCATCAGCCGCCTCTTTACCCAGCGTCAGCAACACCGCGAGAAGCGCCACCACTACTGACAGCACCGTCGGGTCCCTCTGCTGCAGCTCCTGCCGCAAGGAGTCTAGGTAGGGCTGGAAAGCGCCCCCGGCACCGTCGCCATCCCCCAGCCGCCGGGAGTCCGCGGAAGCCATGGATGAAGCGCGTGCTGTCTAATGCCGCAAAAGCGACGTGGCTCTGGGCTCTGCGCAGGCGCGGAAAACGGAGCATCCCGGGAGTAGTAGTTCCTAGGGGAACCCCAAGTGCATGACGGGAGTTGTGGTTCCCGCCGAACGTTAAGCCAAAAGTTACGTGAGGAGGGACGCACCCGTCTTTTGAGATATGGGTCAGCCGTCGCGGCTTGCTTTATGGCTGTTGAGAAAAATGATGAAATGAGGTAGATGAGTGGCCCCTGGAGTGTCCACCGAGGATTTCCAGTCGGACGCTGTGGCGAGGTGAGGCTTGTGAGGAGCTCAAGCATCCTGCGAGCATTCAGTCTGAATGGGATGTGACAGCGGGGTCTACCGCGCCCCGCTGGACTAAGTGAACGGACGCCGGGTCCATCGAGAGCTTAGCGCAAGGCGGCTGGAACCGACGCGAGCAGGAGAAAATGAGTTCCACCCGTGGTGGGTGCAGGAAACAATGTGTCCCCGCGCGGCCCGTGTAGGGTTGCAGATCCCATTTCCCCATTAACGAAAGCCATTGCAAAGGTGGACGCTCAGGGGGAACTCCAGCGGGCGTGGGCCGGGGGACGCACACCCTTCCCAGCCGGGTAGGTATTGTGGGACCTGGGCTCCCGGCTCTTCCAGGTTTGTCAAGACAAGTCATAAAGGCAGGTTATTTTATAGGAAAATTTCCACTTTAAAAAATGTGGTAGATAAGTGAAAACCCCAAAATGTGTGGCTCAAGTTAAAACACTTCTGCCAGCCCGAAGCCGCTGGCCGCCCGGAGGCTCCCATGTGCAGTCCATGTCTTGAAGCAGGTGGCATGGTTTTAAAATGTGCACGTGATTGAATGTAGGGGTGTGACTGAGTAACAACACGAGCCATCCACTGGCGCTGAAAGGTAGAAAAATATTACAGGGGATGGGGCCCGAGGCACTGTGGCGTAGGGGGTAAAGCTGCTGCTTGCGAATGCCTGCAACCCAAACGGGCAGGCTCTGGTTTGAGTTTCAGCTGCTCCACTTCGGATCCAGCTCCCTGCTAACGTGCCTGGGAGAAGCAGCAGAGGATGGCCCAGGTCCTTGAGCCCCTGCACCCACATGGCAGTCCCAGATGGAGTTCTAGGCTCCTGGCTTCAGGTTGGCCCAACCCCAGCCATTGCAGCTATTTGGGGAGTGAACCAGGGAATGAAAGATCTCACTCACTGTCTCTGTCACTCTTTCAAATAAATAAATCTTTAAAATGCCTGTTGCAATTCTACATTGACATACAGGGCTACATGCACCCTCAGACACACAGAGGCCAGGGACCAAGTCCTTATTACTAGTGTGGCAGGGAGTACCTGGGTGGAGACATTTTTGGTTGTGTGAGGAGTGAAAAACAGAGGTGTTAGGGTTGCTGCATGGAAAGTTCAAAGCATGATGTAGGTGCAGCCTGGAAAGCCAGACCACTGGGAAATGTCAACAATTTGGGCTGTTAAGTTTGGCCTTGTGATCCCTGGAAGCCGAATCCATCTACTACAAAATCTGTGAGAGATGGTTAGAATAGTCACTTAGCTAGGGATCACGGGAGATCAAACTGGAAAGGCAGCAGGACCTGAAAGGATTCTCTGTGCTTTGCTGAGGAGTGCAAGAAATTTACCCAGAATGCAACAAGACATTCCAGTTGGGGGTGGCGTGGATGATTAATTGGCAGATCTGCAGATAACCATGACCTGAGGGGATAAAAGACTATAGGTGGGTGTCTTGCTGCATTTAGACAAAAAGTGCTCAGGGTCTAATTCAGGGACAGAAGTAGATATGGAAAGGAGGGCATGAACTTGAGAGATATTTAGAAATTAAAATATATAGGATGTGATTGTAATCAAGGGCATAGCATTTAGGGCAAGAGAGGGACACGAGGAGAGAATGTGAAATGGTTGCTTGCTTGAGTTCAATTCTCAGAGGACTTTCCAGGAAAGCTTATCTTGCAGTGTTGCCCCTAGTGTGGGCCAGACCCCCAAACAAGGCAAGCTGCAAACCAGTCTGAGTTAAGAGTTTGTCTCTAAGGATGTTCAAGGAAAGCTTATCATGCAACATGGTATTCAGAAGGGGCCAGACCCCTGCAAATAAGAAAGCTGCAAGAAACCAGTCTGAGTCCTTCCGCACCCTGGGCACTTCCCTAATCCTTGCTGTGAAAGCCCTGGAAACCTGCTTCTCAGGGAGGTAGTTTCTTAGGGAGCTAAACCTTCCCACTGTCTCCTTCACAGTCACAAAGCCTTCCTCCGAGAAACTCCAGCTCAAGGCTGATGATCTGGCAACACCCCAAGTGGACAGACCCCTTGTGTCCACCAGCATGACTGGTTAACTTGACGTGGTAACCAGGAGAGTACCAAGGCTGCACCCCAGGCAGCTGGTATGGGAAACTGGGGATATGAAAGTGCCATTAAGTGGGAGAGGGGTAGGGACTGCAGACCTATTGGGAAAAAGTGGCCAGAATGAAAACTGTCTCCCTTTTCTATGTGTTGAAGTTCAGGTGCTTCTGGTTCATCTGAAAGCTTATTGAAGCAGGTCTTAGAGTAACCCAACACATGGTAGGTTTTCATTGGAGAGCCATGTGGAAACAGGAGATTGCAAAGTAATAGAGCCCATGAAGAGTGAGCAGAGAGGAAGTCATGGAGAAGCTTAAGAAGGAAGAGTCAAACACTGAGTGAGACAGACACGCCCTGGAAGTGATCAAGGATGTTCTGTAGCGGAGTGGCTCCTACGACCAGGCATTGAGTGAGTGAGGGCTGGTGTGCGGTCACGGAAGCAGGAAGGCAGTGATGGTGGGGGGTGAGGGTGATTTTCATTGTCAATGAGCACTTGCAGGTGCTAGGCAGCATTCCAAATATATGGACTGTATTTTTTTAAAACCCTCATATAACCCATTATTCCAAATTTGTAGAGGGGAAACTAAGATGGGTAACTTCCCCAAGGGTACATAATAAGGGACAGAGCTGGGATTTGATTGCAGGAGTTGGGCTCAGTACACTTAACTATATGCTTCAACACAATGGGATGCATTGTCCAGGCATTTTGTTGAGAGAGGTGGCAGGAGAGATACTCAGCTCAAGGAAGAATACTTAGCATGTAAGGTTTCAGTAAGCAAACATGCTGCTTTCTTTTAAATTGCTATTACCAATTAGCTGGCAATCTTGCTACCTTTTATGGTTTCTTTTTTCTTTCTATTGGCTTTGTCCACCACCCACCACCCACCCACCCACCCACACACACACACACACACCTTGCTCCTTTATAATCATTGAAACACCATTGCTTCTTTAGGAAAACCATTGTTTGCCTTCTGGCTTGAGCTATCCCTGCTGGGAACTGAGAAGGCATGGAAGGAGGAAGAGACAGACACGGGGAACCCCAGCCACAGATGTCTTCATTACGTAAGGACACCTAGTCAGAGCTGTGTGAATGAGAGGGCTCCTAGGCCACAGTGGTGAAGCTTGGGAGGGAAGAGAAAAGGGTTGAAGACACAGACATGCTATTCCCTTCAGGGATTCCTGGGACGATGCAGGCACGAGAACTGTATGCAGCTCCCACACTGAGGAGAGGGTGACACCACTTCCCCAGGGATGGAATCAGCAGCTTCCCTTGCTCCTGAATCTCCGTGACTCCCGGGCGGAACGCAGAGGAGGATATGCAGGTTCTGACGGCTCCTTGCTAAGAGGCCTTCTGCTGTGGAGTCAACCAAATGGCCGGGTCGCTTGCTGCTACCACTCAGGAGGGTCACACGTGGGTCACTCTGGGCTGTTCTGGGGATGGCTGCAGGTTGGGACAGTCCATAGAAGGGCAGGAGGGGGTCTTTTTCTGTTTAGGTATGGATGCTCCTAGAGCTGGAGATGCAAACATAGGCCCAGAGGGGATGGATTCAGTGAGTCCTGTCTAGCCTGTCTTCCTATTTCCCTTAAACCTTAAAACGCACAGCTTCATAATGCCGGAACTGCAAAATTCAGATGGCTTTACTCTCAGACATCTCCTTGGGAGTACTTAAGAAAAAAGTAATTTAGATAACATTTAAGAAACCAAGTGGAATATAAGGTGCAGATTTAAGAGGAATATTTTTTCCTCAGTCCTTCCAAGGCTTTTGCTCAGATACAACTGGCCTCTGAAGAGTTATCTGTACACACTTGTGGCCTTCTACACACACAAACGACAATAAAGATCCCAAATGAACAGGAGGTAGGAATCAGCAGAGTTCCAAGAAAAAGGGTGTGGCCTTGGACCAGATGCACAAAGCAGGCCTCAAGAAGGAAAGAACCAATTGTTCTAACAGTTGCCAGCTGAGTGGTGCCCTACAGGGACACTTCAAGGAAGGGGTGAACAGAAGACTGACTACTGTCTGTCCCACTGCTAACAATACGAGACGAGAGGTGAGCGCCTCCTTAGAGGAAGCTGGGTGGGAGGAGGACCCTGGGTGGCCACTACCATGGCAGCGGGCTCAAGGGATGAGTCTTAGCCAAAAGGCGTTCCAGTGTTTTACTTTCTCCAGTGGGTTAGATCCAGAACCTCAGCCAGGCCTTGTGGAAATCATTAAAAACATCACAATCAAGGTAAGCTTCTGTGGTCTGTTTCTGTACTCGCTGAAGTACTTGATCTTTGTAACTCACTGCCCCAGCCTCCTGGCTCCTTCCCCTGCAAGGCAGGCACACACGACCATGCCCTGTGTGAGTCTATCAGAATGACCACGCAGCCCTCAGCAGAGCTTCCCCCATGTGCTGTGCCCCAGAGGTACAGCCGAGTCCTCAGCTCAGAGGGCAGGGCTCAGTTGCACAGGGGTTGAGTCAGGCAGTAGCAGGAAATCCTTCTGATGGGTGGCCGGCTCCGTGGCTCACTAGGCTAATCCTCTGCCTGCGGCGCCGGCACTCCAGATTCTAGTCCCAGTTGGGGTGCCGAGTATGGACTAGTTGCTCCTCTTCCAGTCCAGCTCTCTGCTGTGGCCCAGGAAGGCAGTGGAGGATGGCCCAAGTGCTTGGGCCCTGCACCCGCATGGGAGACCAGGAAGAAGCACCTGGCTCCTGGCTTCGGATCGGCGCTGTGCCGGCTGTAGCTGTCATTTGGGGGGCTGAACCAACGGAAGGAAGACCTTTCTCTCTGTTTCTCTCTCTCACTGTCTAACTCTGCATGTCAAAAAAGAAAGAAAGAAAGAAATCCTTCAATGGAAAGAATGGAAGTTTCGAAATGTAAAATCTGTAATAGTTTTTATTCTGCATTCTACACACTTGGCAACACAGAACTGTAAAGACAGACATGATTGGCACAACACTCTCAAGCACAGCAGATCCAGAAGAAACTCCTGGGTCATCCAAGCTCCATCTCCAGCCGTGTGGCAGCTCTCTCGTGGATTTTAATGTTTGTGGAAAGTGCAGGCTTCCAGGAGTCCTGTGAGGGCAGAGCAGAGTTGGAGGCATTCAGAACCATCCTGTATGTGCTCATGAACTGTTGGCTGAATGAACAGTTACAGCACACAGGTCTCAGGCCCTGCCCTGCCCTTCCTCTGATGAGTGTACTGCACCAGTCTCCCAGGGCCCTTTCCCTTTGCTCAAGGAGAGCCCTGTGCCAAGGCTGTTGGGTGGTTTCCTGCCCTGCAGCATCCTCTCACCTTGTTTCTTCTGGGCCAGGCTCACACACCTCAATTTGTGTGGCTAAAGGAATATCTCCTCCTTGACCTCACCTCATCAAGCCAAATGAAAACTGACATAGCCCGGAACATGCCAGATTCTATGCAAGGGGCTGGAGGGGAGAGCAGAGAACAGCACAGCCCAGACAGTCTCCCCTTAGAGGGACACAAGGTAGGTGAATATTAACTTTGTTCCCACCACAGTGGGCCTCGACAAGCACACTGCTTGCACCGGAATTATGCACAGCCTTGCTCAGTCGGTGTCCCCAGGGCCTGGAAATCTGCATTCTAATAAGGTGAGCGACTCACCCACACCCTGTGGTTGAAGGGCAAGTGCCCTTCGCCTCATGCTGTTCTACATCTTCCAAATGCTCTCCAAGGATTCAGTCATGTCCACGGTAAGTAGGCTGCACAGCTGTTCTATTTCAATTCCGTTTCAATTCTTAGAAAGTGGTGTTGCAGATGAGTAGTACCCATGGCAGCTTGGTAGTAGCTATCAGCACTTAGCATTTCTGAAGCTGTCTAGGGCAGCATGCTCTGAGGCCTTTCTGCAGCCTGGAGATTCCCCGTGCTGACCAGTGTGGAACCACACGTGCTGCTGAACACTTCAAATGTGGCTTGGGGAGCTGGAGGCAGTAGCTCCATCTTCACTTAAATTTAAGTAGCCACATCTTTCTGGTGGCTGGTGTACTGTAATGTACTGTAATTTTCATAAGAAGTGCACCAAGAGCACTGAACATGTGGATGTAAGCCTCTTCATTTTCTCAGAAATACAAGGGTACTTATGAAAGTTCATAGAAAAGTGGGATTAAAAGATAAATGTGTTTTGATGCAAAAATCTGTGAGATCCATGCATGGTTTTTTTCATAATATGATTTTCCATGAATCCTTTGAAGAGCCCTAATATCCAAGAAGCTCACTTCCTTGGTGCCCTGAAGCTGTGTTCCCCTTGGTATTTTCCCACACAGGCTACCTGTCACACCTGCTGGCTTCTCCCTCTTTCGTCTTCTCCATGTGGTCACATCCTGAGGACCACAGTCTGATCTTCTGTCCCCACCACTATTTGCCCTACCACTCCCCCATGCTGTTCTTCCTACTCACGTGAGGTTGAGCATTTCCTCAGGTTACTGACAGCCTTAATATAATCTGCTCCCAGGTATTTTTCATATGTGTTTTTGCCCCGAAGGTCAACCAGGCATTTTGTGTCGTCCCTGAATAGAAGGTCCTTGGTTTTAGAATGGAACATGCAAAACTTGCTGGAGCAGTCAGCCACTGTATTTCCATACTCAACCTGTCAAATGGACAAAGTGTGTCAGGACCCATGGCCTTAAACAGCAGGAAACACAAGGATCCAAGGTGGCTGCAATCTCTGAACCAGCCCTGCGGAACAAGGGAGGCTACAGAGTGGGCCTCAGGAACTGTCCATCTCCCTCACTTGCCACTTAGCCCACGGGAGCCCGCTCCATGCTTCCATGATGCCCCCACATCCCTCATCCCACCTGCTGAGAAGCCCTTCCTGCCTTCTCTAACCTCTCTTGCCAACATCACTGCCCAGATCCCTTGGAGCTGCTTATAGGAAATGACAGGATATTAACAGGTCCCTTTAGTTGTTGAAAGTTATGTTTGATTGCATTTTGAGTCCTATCTTGGGCAAGCCACTTCTAAGGTTGTAAGCAAAATGATGACTGTAAAAAGCTTAGCATTCCAGGGTGGCCATAGGACCCAGCAGTTAGGATTCAGGGCTCATGTCTCCAGTCCTGATTTCACCCCCAATTCCAGCTTCCTGTGAGACAGTAGGTGAAGGCTCAAGTAATTGGGTATCTGGTGCCCCTATGGGAGAACCAAATTGAGTTCCTGGTTCCTGGCATTGGTCCGGCCCACCCCAGGCATTACAGGCATTTGGAGAGTGAACCAGCTGATGAGAGCTCTAGCTATCTCTCTCTCTCCACCTACCTCTCTGTGTCTCTCTAATAAAAACAAATGATATTTTTAAATAAAGTTTACCATTCCATATAGCACCTAGGAAATGTTCATTAAATGCTCATTATTGTCATTACGTGCCTGAAAAGGACTTCTAAAGACATGCTATTTTAATAAGAAAAAACAAATGGTGAATCACCAGGCAGGAAGCTATTCCTGAGAAAAAGTTGCTGTTTGTGTAGAGAGGGGCCTCTAACGTGAGACCATCCTGGCAGCCCCTCTCCCCGCGAGGCTGACTCTGAGCACCAGCTGAGGGAAGGAGCCCTGTGTTTTGCAGGGTGCCCAGTCTCCCTAGGCACAAGAACCAGAAGCCCGCTGTTCATGACCTGTATCAAAGAATGCTGGGAACCAGAATCCATCTTCCTCATTTTCAGAAAAAAGTGGGAGAGATGAGGGCACTCCTGAGCGCGGCAGGAGAGCAAGCCGGCATATTCCTGGTCCTGCGAGTGTGTGGATTAGAAAAGAACTTAGCTCCGGTGACCCTGGGCTAGAGGCAGAGCCAGGCCTGAGAGCACCACTTGCATGACACAACTAGTGTGCACGTCTGTGAACACGGCATTTTCCCAAGTCCTTTGGGTGCCTTACTTCACCCAGTCTGCATATTAATTCAGAAGTGGATAAAAATGTTATTAATCTTATTGTATAGATGAAGAAACTGAGGCATAGAGAGATTAAATCATACACCCTGGATGGTACAGCTAGGAAGCTGCTGAGCTGAGCTTTGAACCCAGACACTATGATCTACAACCCACGGCTTCCCCATTTTAGTTTCCAGGAAGAGAATGCTGGAGTCAGCATTTGCTGTGAGCTCCCACGAGTAACCTACAGCTCTCTAGAAAGAAAGGGTGGGAGGCGCTGGCAGGCCCATACCTGCAGGTCAAGCAGTTTCTGCTTAACACAAGCTGCCTTATCTTTCCTCGAGACCACGGCATGATTTGGAGCTTTGGCAAGATGGCAGTTGTGAGCCTCAGAGACAGGCTTCCTGGTACCATCAAGGCACAGCAACTCAAAGTCTTCTTCCTTCAGATCCTTAGCCCATGGTTCAGAGTTCCGTCCTGGGGAGAGAAAGAAGGTGGATCTTTCTTGATGGTCTTGGGCAGCCTGCCCTCACTGGCTCTTGTGTTACCCGCTGGGATGTAGAGGACCTGAGCCCTCTGACAAGCACAAGTGTTTACACTGTGGCTGAAGACACCCATGTGTGTCTACACAGCAATTACTAGTCCCCTCCCAACATTCCTGACCAAGCCAGGTGAGAGTGACCGACATTAGTGGAAGTTGTTCAAAAGAATTTTCATTTCAGCTGAAGTCCAAAGCCTTTGGCTCTTCTTGCTCCAGCGTGAGAAGAACGCGGCCCGCTAAGCCAGGTTGATGGCTCTGTGTGCTCTAACAAGGCATCTCCAAACCAGAGAGCTTTCTCTTGGAGGGCCCTTCTGCAATCTGCAACAGCGTTTGAGATCTGAGTCCCTTCTACCAGCTTTAAGTGAAAATGTGCACATTTGTGTGGTACAGGTCCAAATCCTATCCAGGCCTCTCGCTTCATCTTTTCTTTTTCTTTTTTCTTTTTTCTTTTTTTTTTTTTTTTTTTTTTGACAGGCAGAGTGGACAGTGAGAGAGAGAGAGACAGAGAGAAAGGTCTTCCTTTGCCATTGGTTCACCCTCCAATGGCCGCCGCAGCCAGTGCACTGCGGCCGGTGCACCGCGCTGATCCGATGGCAGGAGCCAGGTACTTATCCTGGTCTCCCGTGGGGTGCAGGGCCCAAGTACTTTTGCCATCCTCCACTGCACTCCCTGGCCACAGCAGAGAGCTGGCCTGGAAGAGGGGCAACCGGGACAGAATCCAGCGCCCCAACCGGGACTAGAACCCGGTGTGCCAGCGCCACAAGGCGGAGGATTAGCCTAGTGAGCCGTGGCGCCGGCCTGCTTCATCTTTTCTATGTTGGTTGCAAAACAACAACAAAAAACTCACCCATTCACAAGGTTTCAGCCCCTTCCTTCTGTGTAATGCCAACTTTTTTTCTCTCCCATAATGCAAGACTGCAACCTTGTTTTAAAAATTCATTAATTTTTCATTCAATTTTCTTAAGTCGAATAAGCAATTTATGAGCTCACGTTCATAAATTTTTGATTATAAAATGAAAATGCTCCTTTCCTACACCCCCAAATCCCACTCTGCTCTGTAGCTCTCCCACTCTGCTCTGCAGTACTAGTCCTTGCTATCACTGTGGCATGTCACCAGCCACGCTTTGTTGTAAGCAGTTACCCAAAATGTGTCTTCATGGATGTTGTGTGTTTGAGATTTTTTTTTAGTGTCTGCAGCTACTTACCCACTACCATTGTCTTTTGTTCTTTGTCAGGACGTGTAAATCAAGTCCATTCTTTTTAATTACTGTATTGATCCAATAGTGTGGCTACATAGAGTATTTTTTAAGCCAGTCCTCCATTAATGGGCATGGAGGGGGTTATAACATTTTTCCACTACAATAGGATTAAAGTGAGTATTACTGCAAATGACCATGTCTAAGTAGAAGCGGAGCAGTTAGTTAAAAGGATGTGTGCATTTTGTCGTGTTAATGCACATAGGAAGAGCCAACTGCCTGCTCCTCTCTATGCCAAGGACCATGATCGTCAATCACCTTACCATTTCTTCTTCCCTGTGCTGGCTCTCAAGCCTGCACCTTCCAAATGGAATCAATTATCTTTCTTTCCTAACCCACTAACTCTTTGGTCATTTCAGCACTTACTGTACAACACACTAGTTTTTAGCCCTCTGCAAGGCACAGTCATACTGGAAGGAGAAACAATACAGGAACCAAAAGCAAAAACGCAGGGCAGAGACATTTTGTGTTTCGTGGAACACTCTAAGTGCTGTACGAGCTCAGAACCAGGGCCCTGAGCGCAGGCTGGAGCACAGCCTAGGGCAGAGAGCCTGATGATGACTCACAGCCATTGCGGTAAAGGCCTGAAGTAGGAGCAATGAGTGAGGTGCCCAGGTAGAAGGAAAAGTGGGTCTATGAGGACTCAGGAATGGAAGTCAATATTAATGAAAGAGCCAGGACCTGTGCGTGGAAATGAAGAAAAACTAGATGGCAAGTGTTTCAGTATGGGCTTGGAGGGTAGCAGTAGGCATCTATAAAGGCATGGCTTTTCCCATGAAGGTAATGCATGTTCACTGATGGGAATTCATAAAATGCTACAGAGGCACTTCAGAAAGTTCATGGAAAATGGAATTAAGAGATAGTTTATTTGTTGGGAAAAAATTGAAATCCATGCATAGTTTTTTTCCTATTAAGCATTTTTCATGAGCTTTTTGAAGAATCCTAGTATGCATAAATTTCAAAGTTTTTTGTACCAAAATAAAATGATCTTTTTTTTTATTTTTTTATTTTTTTGACAGGCAGAGTGGACAGTGAGAGAGAGAGAGAGAGAGAAAGGTCTTCCTTTGCCGTTGGTTCACCCTCCAATGGCCGCCGCGGCCGGCGCGCTGCGGCCGGCGCACCGCGCTGATCCGATGGCAGGAGCCAGGAGCCAGGTGCTTTTCCTGGTCTCCCATGGGGTGCAGGGCCCAAGCACCTGGGCCATCCTCCACTGCACTCCCTGGCCACAGCAGAGGGCTGGCCTGGAAGAGGGGCAACCGGGACAGAATCCGGCGCCCCGACCGGGACTAGAACCTGGTGTGCCGGCGCCACTAGGCGGAGGATTAGCCTAGTGAGCCGCGGCGCCGGCCGAATAAAATGATCTTTTGAGTCCATTTTCTATGAACTTCTTGAAATACTCTCAGGCATATTATCAGGAAAATTTTGAAATGTAATTTCGCAGCCTATAGCTTCAAAATTGGTAAGTTTCTTCCATCTTTTTACTATACACATATATTACACACGTGCACACACATAATCACATAATCCAGAACAAAGTGTCTGTGTGCTTCTGCATCTTGCTGTTTCTATACCACAACAAGCCATAAGATAAACTCTGAGCAACTACTATGCTATATACTGGGTGCTGGGAATAGAAGAGGAGGAAAACAGCTCCCAATGTATCTGGATCCTGAGTATATGACAGACTGTGGCGCATGCAGTAGGAACAGCAGTGTGGGCGGAGCAGTCTTTCTACAGGATGAGGTGTGCTATCTGAGGAGGCTTCATACAGGGTTGGTGCTGAGGTAGGTCCTTCTGGCCGACTTGGCCAGAAGAAAATGGGAGGTTGGGAGGGGCTTGAATGGCCAGGACAGAGAGCAGGCGGGAAGTAATTCACAGCCTGGACTCGAGTGAGTTCTACTCACACTCAGTGACACTGGAGGGGTCAGGTGTGCAGTGCTCATTCTTAGCAAAGTTTGTTTTATTTTGTCGTCATCGTTTTTTAATGTCACGGCCATCCAGTTTCTCACCCACAAGTTAACACTCATTGATGAATCTTGCCTGAATGAATCATCAGTATATTGATTGTCAAATGACAGCGTTCTAACTTTGTCACTCCTCTACATTCATTAGTTGGCATTCTATGATAAGAAAAAGCTTTGCCTTCATTTGTCTCATCAGTATTGCCTGGGGGATTCTTGTTTTATTCCATGGGCTATTATACTTTCCTGCTCTCACTATTTGTGTCAATGTCCAGAATCCCCGTAGCTGGCAGTGGGAGGTCCCTCAGATTGGCTCTTGCGTGACCTGACACACGTGGACTCTTGGAGCCCTTTAGTGTGATGCTCTGGGCTCACCATGCAGTTCTCCTGCCCAGCACTGGAGTCACCTATTTCTTTATTTATTTATTTTTGACAGTAGGCAATATGTTGGTGCTCAATCCCATTGGTGTGCCATTGCCTCTTGGCCTTTTCAGTGGGCAGAGCCAGGAAATAGAGGAGGTGGCTACAAAGGACATTACTGGGCTGACTGAGAATGTGGTCCATAGACATGCTGAATGTCACATCCACAGAATGTGAGATTTCCTGGCCTCAGTAATTGTACCATAGGTATGGAAGAGAATGCCTCGTTCTTGGGAAATGGGCCTGGAGGTATCTGGGGGAAGAAAGGGAAGCAGAGCTGCAGCTGTGAGGGTGTTTGTGGGAGAGGATCCAGAGCCATTGGGAACCCAGTGGTCCTGATCACTCTGGCTACTCAGGTGAACACTTTCCACTGAACAGACAGGTTGGAGGCTGACAGTGTCTGTATCACTCCAATGGAGGCAACCCTGAACGCAAGTGCATCCTCGTGGCCCGCATGTTACGGGGACAGGGCAGCATGTGTACCTACCACCAGTGTTCTGCAGCACAGTTTGGGACTTCACAAAAGCCACGTCTCCCTTCTCCACCAGACACCTGCAGGCACCCCATGGGAGAGAGAAGAGAGGAGGTCAGAGTGACACATCTGTCACTGAGGGGCCACCTTACAGACCCAGGCTGGCCCCCTGATGTAAGCATTACAACTTCCCTCCTATCCCTAAGCAGGGTGAAGGAGAAGGAGCAAACACGCTCCAAATGGCTACCCAGGTATACAGTCTTGGCTCCACATAACACATCATAATTCTGGCACAGCTTCTGTGATCCTATGGCTTTCCTACTATCAACATGGACACCAGAGGTCAATTTACCACTGAGGTCATGCCTCCCCTAGCAAAAGAAGTGTGAACAAAAGCACTTAATTCCTGCAGGTTCTTTTAAGATGCAAATATCTCCACACTTGTGAAAGAGTAAAAAACTCCCTCACAGATTTCAATTTGTGATATGCGCAAAAGAATTTTAACATTCACAAAGCATTTGTTTTGCTTTGAGACCTGCAGAGCGTTGGGCAAAACCTGTATACAGGCACTTGGTTCCATGAACTCCCAGTCCACGTATTTAAGAGTTTAAGGGTGTGGCATGTAAGGGTGTGGTATTGATGATTGTAGACACAGCACTGAGCCATTACAAGTGCCAAGAAAATTTCAGGAGAGAAAGAATGCCACAGTAACCTTGTTTAGGATGATTCTAATGTTAACTATTACTGAATTCCAGTCCTGTAAAAATGTGTACCACACTAGTATAGGCTTCAGATTCTACACATGGCCCCACTAATGACCCGGGTGAATCAGACTCTATTGCTACAAGCCCAGCTTAACTCGCTCATTTCAAGGAAAAGGACTTGGGGCCGGCGCTGTGGCATAGTGGGTAAAGCTGCTGCCTGCAGTGCCAGCATCCCATATAGGTCCCAGCTGCTCTACTTCCCATCCAGCTCTCTGCTCTGGCCTGGGAAAGCAGAAGATGGCCCAAGTCCTTGGGCTCCTTCACCCACATTGGAGACCTGGAAGAAGCTCCTGGCTGCTGGCTCTGGATCGGCACAGCTCCGGCCATTGCAGCCATCTGAGGAGTGAACCAGCAGATGGAAGAACTCTCTCTTTCTGCCTCTCCTTCTCTCTCTGTGTAACTCTGCCTTTCAAATAAATAGATAAATCTTAAAAACAAAAAATAAAAGGAAAAAGACTTGCCCCCTCCTGCAGCTGTAATAGTTTCTTTTTTTCTTTTAATTTATTTGACAGATACATTTACACAGTGAAAGACAGAGACAGAGAGAAAGGTCTTCCTTCCATTGGTTCACCCCCCAAATGGCCGCTACGGTCGGAGCTATGCCGATCCGAAGCCAGGAGCCAGGTGCTGCCTCCTGGTCTCCCATGCAGGTGCAGGGGCCCAAGGACTTGGGTCATCCTCCACTACCCACCTGGGCCACAGCAGAGAGCTGGACTGGAAGAGGAGCAACTGGGACTAGAACCTGGCGCCCATATGGGATGCCAGCGCTGCAGGTGGAAGATTAACCAAGTGAGCCACAGCACCGGCCCCAGCTGTAATAGTTTCAACCATAGCTAGCCAAAGAGGTGGGTTCCCTGTTCTGCCCTATAATTTCTTCTAAGCTTCAGGTCTAACATGTGACTACCAGATAAAGGTCAAAAAGGAACAGCATTTTAAGTCCTCCCCCCACCCCCCAAACTCTTAAATCCCTGTGTAAAGCTGGGAACGTGCGGTGTGTAAATCGTAACTACTCTCACACAGCTGTTCTAACTGGAAAATACAGACGCGTTTGGATTTCCACTCACTATTGGAAGTTGGGGGGCAGTTCAGGGACTCGTGGACTACCAGGTAACAGAAGGTCAGAAGCAGAACAGGTAGTTGGTAAGTAGCAAGGCACTAAGGCACACAGGTGCCTGAGAATTAGACACACTATGAAGTCCCATGAGGTTTGGAATTTAGAAATTGTGCACTCCACTATTCTCGGTTTCCAGATGAGTATGGTTCCCAGTTACCCAGAGGGATCCGGAGGAGGCTGAGCCAAACTCCCATCTCGGAGTTGATTCAACTGTACTAGCGTTCCATTGCCTCGGCACTTGGACCTTTGGGGCTGGATGGTTCTTTGTTGTACCATGCTTTCCTTTGCACTGTAGGATATTTAACTGCTTCTAGCCATCAGATGCTAGTAGCACCTGCCCCTTGCCCCCAACACCATCTCAGTCAAAAACATCTCTAGACATTGCCAAATGTCCCCCAGAGGGCAAGCTGCCCCCACGGGAGAGGTATACAAGTGATGAGCCATCCATCAGTCTCTGCAGCCTGTGACAGCCAAATGTGGCAGCTGGTGCCTGGGGGAGCCTGAGTGCTGCTTCACACACAGCTCTGCATTTGACTGCAAAATCTCCCACCCTCATAGATACATGCAGCACTAATAGAGTAAAAACATACAGACCTCCCCTTAGCTCCTGAAAAGAATCAGCCATGGCTGGAATCATATGTTATTTGTGTCAGGGCCAGAACACTCACCTGAAAGCCCCCGTGTAGCCATAGTATCCCTCTCTGTTGTTGGGAGCACACACACTTGGGCCGACACACAGCTCACAGAGACTGGAATTCTTCTGAGAGCCAGGTGCACAGCCTTGACGGAAAAACTCATCTGCACAGAAGGACAAGAGGGAGTCAGCTCTTCCCGAGCCAATTACATTGCACACAAAGGCTACGAAGCCTGTGAGAGGGAGAACCCATTCATTCATTCATTTTGTGACCTGCCACTGCCAACTCAGCATCTGCCAGGCTGCAGGCTTTAAAAGGGAAACCCATTGAGGCTGAAAAAAGAGTTGGTGACCATTGCAACTCAGGGCAGAGGGATTCCTTTGAGCACCATGCGGGTGTCAACACTCACCTAAAGAAAAAATGGAGATGATATGGAAAGAGACACAGAGGAATGGAGAGCAGGAACCTCATTTCTTGAGCTTGTCTCCCCGTTGTCAGATACCCCCTCCCCTGCCTCTTTCATATCTCCAAGCTCAAGAAAGGGAATCTCCAGTGGCTCTCCCAGGGCTGTAAAGGTGCCAGGAGGCTCAGGTGTGCAGAGGTAGGGCCTTTATCACTGGGCATCTTCAACTTTCTGGAGGCTGCCCCAGCTGCACTGTGCTTCATGTCAGACAGGTGTCACAGAGAGCCCTGGGGTGCTTCCATCCCCATTCACACAGGGTTCGCTGGGACTGCAAGCAGATTTAGAAGCCTCTCCTTTTTTTATGGAGTGGCCCAAATTTGGAGGTGGCAGGGAGGAAGCACTCAGGACACTAAGGTAAAGCAGAACCATGGCAGCCATGGCAGCTGGCGCTGTGGCATAGTGGGCTAAGCCTCCACCTGTGGCGCTGGCATCCCAAATGGCACCTGTTTGTGTCCAGCTGCTCCTCTTCTAATCCAACTCTCTGCTTATGGCCTGGAAAAGCAGTGGGAGATGGCCCAAGTCCTTGGGCCCCTGCACCCATGTGGGAGACAAGGAGAAAGCTCCTGGCTTCTGGCTTCGGATTGGCCCAGCTCTGGCTTTTGCAGCCATTTGGGGAGTGAACCAGCAGATGGAAGACCTTTCTCTCTGTATCTCCCCATCTCTGTCTGTAGCTCTGCCTCTCAAATAACTAAATAAAAATCTTTAAAACAAATCAGAACCACTGGGAAACATTTGCCTTTGGGGATCTGAAGAAGTGTAAGGAGAACACAGGGAATAAACTGACTCCTACCCTCTTAAAGGATCCCGGGAGCTGGGCAGTGACTGGGTGAGACTCTCACAAAGAAAGATCACCCATGCTTACACAGCTGACAAAAGCCCTGTGGCAGGCATTGCTGGCTGTCTACCCCACATCCATTTGTTCCTTAGTAACAAAGATCTAGTTTTTCTTGGCTGTGAACATGCCCAAATGAATGAGTACACTCTGTTACAGCTAAGTGTGGCGATGGGAGAAGCCAGCGGAAGTCACCGGCCAGACCTCCTTTAATAAGTTGACATTTGCTCCAACCCTTTGGTGCGTGGGGCTTCCTGGATCATGGATGCGAGGGCAGCCATGGATGTCCTTGAGGAAGGAAGCACCCTGCTGAGAATGGTGGAGAAGAAAGGGGGAAGGAGCCTGACTTCTCATGGCCATAGCAGCCACAGGCTGCTCACCTCCACTCTTTCTCATCAGGGAGAAAATTAGCTGTAGATTCACTTACACAAACCATCATGTGCAACCACGAAGAACCACCCTGACTGAACAACTTTCTCTGGCCCTCCCAGTCCATTTTGGTATCTCCTTGAGGTTCACTTGAAGCAAGCCTGACTTCCACAGAGTCTCAGCTCACAGTACCCCAGCCCGCTGGCTCCCGCGCAGCACTCGGCTCTTGCCATGGCCCACGCCAGCCACGCTGCTTCTTCCCAGGACGCACTCACCAAACCTGCAGTGGTTGATCCTGTTGTACAGGAGGCCCATGGGGATGTTCCAGCCAGCCGTTCTGTCCACCGCTGTGTGGCAGGACTTCTTGCCTTCCAGGTTGTTCCAGTTTATGTCAGGATTTGACTTCTTCACCACTGCCACAGAAAGATACCCTGCAGGAAAGACACCAGCAAAGGAAGCCTCTGAAGTGTATGCCTCCAGGAAAGCCGCATCTCCCAGGGAAATAGACATCTGGAGTAGCGCACTGTGTCTTGAGCAGATCTCTCCAGTAACAGTCGGAGGTAAAGTACAAGGCAGTGTGACAGGAGGAACGCATTTGAACTTGAAAAACAAAATACTCATAATATGTTATCTTTAGAGTAAGGGCTTGGATATAGGCATCCATGAAGGCTTAAAGTTACTGAAGTTAAAACCCAGCAAATCACCTTGCAGTGCGTTATATGGGAGGAATGGATACTAAGCATCTAATGCAACTGCAGCATTTTATAAATTAACTTGCACTTCGATACAATAAATCATAGGGGATAATCAGCACAGACATTTTCTGATAAGGTGAATATAATTTTATACACAAGCAAAATGGAAAAATATCAAAATTAAGTCAGCTGTCATTTTTCACAGCAAACACGTGCTGGTCCTTAAAACGGGAGCAGAACATCCAACCTATGCTTCCAGTGTTCTAATTTAATCAACTTAGAACAGTGTTTCCAACAGAAAATAGAATTCTTATTATCCATGGAGTAAGAGTGGTTCTTTATCTGCTGAAGAGCTTTGCTCCTCAGGTGATGTCCTGGGAGAGGCTGGGAGGGTGTAACTGGTAGAAGTGACAAGGACAGACTTGCATACTGCTGGCCATCTGCAGTAGGGGCACAGAGGCCCTGAGACCCAGTGCTCCTTGGTGCAAGACTTCCTAACTTGATCCAACCCCATCTTTCTAAAATCCACCCCTAACCAGACCTCCTGGTGAGAGCAAGGTTGGTTTGAAGACCTAGGCCCATCCCTGTCAGGGTGGTTGGGTGATTCCATGCTCCCAGATACTTGTCTTTGTGAGGTTCACTACTCGGCCCTGCAAGGAACAAGCATGTAGGTTGCCTGGCTGGTGTTGACTTATCTAAAACTGCACAAGCCTAGGTAATGCAAGGTGGTAGGGAACAAAGGGAAGAGCCTGGGTTTACATCTAGATGCATGGAGTCCTGGACAACGCATAAATTCCCTGAGCCCTAGGGTTCTCTTACACATCCTTAGAGGATGCCAATACCTACTGAACGTGATTTAGTGAGAAATCCTGTCCCAGTAAGTACACAGGAAGCCCCACCATCTTCATCAGTTACCAGCCTTCCATGATTCTGTTGCACTCTAAAAACTGGTTTCTGCCAGGGCCTTGTGATTTGAACATTAAACTTAGCAAACCACTTCCCAAAGCAATGGGAATTTACCTTTTAACTCCCAAGGTTACCAATTCCAACTCACCTTCCTCCGGTGCTTTCTTGCAATCAGTGCTTTCTGGAAAAAGAAAATGCAGACAGCGTTCAACAGTTACTTAGAGATTAGAGAGACTAGCCTTTCTCATGCTGCAACCAGGAACAAAGAGTCAGGCAAGGCTACACATGTCACCGATTCTCAACAAGCAGGCAGCTCCATCTCAGCTCTGGAACGGACCCACAAACTGCCAACAGGTTTCCTGCTCTGTCTGCACTGAGCCCGCAGGGTGGTGGTGGCCAACTATACTGAAACCCCTGCAACAGGGCAGGGGCAAAGCGTGCATCTGGAAACTGCCAGAGAGCCCAGCTGTCCTCTGCAGCAGGGTTACTTTTGTGGGAACTTCACAGCACAGAGCCCCCCGTTCCCCAGTGCTGCAAGGGGGTTAAGTGCCATTCCCTTACGATGACTGTGGGGCTGCTCCGGGAGGGAGCCCAGAGTCTGGGAAGCAGTTGGCGCTCTGCCAGGAGAGCCTCACAGCAGTTATGGCAGGGTCAGGCTGTGATTTCCCCGTCTCCTCTTCCCCTGACTCAGAGGGAAGAAATACAGAGAAGTGCCCTCTCCCCCTCCACCCCATTTACCATAGTTCTCTGCCAGGACAGGCACCAGACCACACTGGCCCGCTATGTAGACATATCCTCCGTCCAAGCTCATGGCGTCAGCTTCTCCATTCTGTAAGCAAAGACACAGTCACTCACGGCTGATAGAACGAGGGATGTCCTGGGCCCTCACAGCTCCTTCCTTGAAGGACCTGCCCATGACCCAGCTCATGACTCCCCAGAAGAGCGGCCAGGCCCACCAACCATAGGAAGTAAAATGCATTCTCCTCTTCATCCAAGCAGCATGATAAATTCCAGATGCCTTGCTGAGTTGGTTCAAGAGCAAAGCCCCACATTCAGTCCCCTGGGCTTCTCATAGGACACAGTGTCTTGGAGACAGTCCTAGGACACCTCTCTTGCACCAGGGATTCTCATTTGTGAGGCCAATGAAGGGAGCCATGGACTTAGTAGCCCAGTCTGTGGGATAGCGCCTCTCCTCGACTCGGCTTTGTTGGCTGGCTGCCCGGTGCAGACAAGGTGTTTAGTGAATGAGTCAAGTCTCCTCAGATGACTTAATACAAAGCTAATAAGTATGGAATGTCAGAGATGCTTAGATTCAACAAAAAATGGGAAGACAACCCTGCAGTCTGGCAATATACTTCCTAAGGATATGCCATAGAGGAATAACGAGATGGGTGGACAAAAAGAATAAATGCGACTTGTAAAAGTGAAAAAGGGGAACCAAAAGAGATTCGAAATATTTCCCTATTTGACCTGCACACAGGGTGGTAGGCTGATGCTCAACAGGGAGACCCCAGTTCTTTCATACATTTTCAACCAGTGCCAGCCTGGCGATGGGTCCTCAGCTCTTTACATTTCTGGGCCCGTGGGTCAGGGCTCCAATGAATCTTTAATGGGATTTGAAACTTTTCCAGACTTGATGATATGACAGCACCTAAGTACACCAAGAGCCCCGTTTTCTATTTCATAACTGTTAGTTCCTCTCGAGTTCCTTGAATTCCTTTCTTCAGAGGTAGTTCTGTTGGTTTCTTTTGATCTGGCACAAGAGTTCCAATGGCACAAGACTGGTTCCCATTTGCATAAGCACAGAAGCCATCCAGGAGTAGGAGCACCTTCAAAGCTGCTCCCCTTTGCCAAGAGAAACACACTCTGCCCAGACTTTTACAAGGTCCTTTTTAAGCTCAACTCAATGATTTTTAAACAACCATCAACCTCTCTAGTGTCTCCAATACAGAGCCACTTCTGTCCATTTTACTCTTCAAGGAAATCAGCTTTGCTTTTTGCTTAATTTTTGTAGTATCTCATTGTCACATTTTGGTCACCAGTAGGAACTTTGCCTACTAGAGTTTCCAGCTCTTTCCCAGGTCTTTATTTCACAGAGAACTAGCGGGGCTCCCACTTTTGCCAGTATTGTGGCTCCAGCAGATTCAGTGAGTCCCTAACCCTGACAAGTGAGCTAGCAAAAACAGGTCTTCATGAGTTGCTGTGTTGTGTAGGTGCAGAAAGTGGAGTATCTCCACCGAATAGAAGCTAGATTGTTCTACCTAGCAAGCGTCGAGATTTCCAGAAAATTAAAGCTGTCACATGGCATTAGTAAAGATTTCCAGAAAAGCAAAGCTGATACTATGCCCTTTTGAAATAGTTTCATTTTATAATTATAGTTCAGAAATGCATTTAAAATTACTACTCTCATGTACTTTACTTGTGGCATTTGTGCAGATCTGGTTCATGATTTCCAGAACACTACCATCAGTGTTGGATGAAACCAGGATGAAGCTTTGACTTCCTTTTTTCTTTTCTTCATTTTTAAAGACTGAACCATTATAGTCTGTGGTGAAGAGTTGCCATTGAGGCACCTGTGAGACAGGCAAGGTCAGCACTGGATTCCAGAACACATACCAAAGGCAAATACCCAGTGTGGTCAGCTTCCTCTTACAGTCCTGGAATCCTTCCACCACCCCAGCAATGCCTAATCATGCTACCAGGTGAGACCCTGAAGTCCTGTGCATCCACTTGTGCACTTCATCATGCACCATCTGAGGACACTGGCTCTGAGGTCTGCTTCCCATGTCCATCTGTGCTTTCACTGCAGCAGGAGGTGCACCTGTAACACCTTTGGGGACCTTGGACAGATCAGTGGCTTCCCATTGCCGGTAATGATGTATCCCAGGGTTGGGACCAAAAAAACTAAACCCTCCAACTTTGTTTGCAAGAGTTCTTTACTAGCAAATATGTTGGTCGCTTCTACTTCATTTAATCAGTGAACAATTGCTTGGCACCCCAGAGTAGCATAAAAGGTAACATGCTGAATATTATGCATAAGTCACGACCATGCCTCAACCATCCATTTGGTCCTGATCTCACAGAACATGGAAGTGCTGTTCTTTGGTTTCTGACCCAACATCTGTAAACCATTTCCAAAATTCAGTCTTTGAATGACATCTTCATAGGAGAGCAAATTATAGTGTCAACAAATATCTTCAAAAACATGCTTCCACTTGGTTATCCTTTATCTTCCTCATTTAAGGTTCCAGCGCTGAGGCCGGTGTTGTGACATAGCTGGTAGAGCTGCTGCCTACAGCACCAGCATCCCATATGGGTGCTGGATAGGTCCTGGCTGCTCCACTTCCCACCCAGCTCCCTGCTAATGTATCTAGGAAAGCAGCAGAAGATGGCCCAAGAACTTGGGCTCCTGCACCCACTTGGGAGACCCAGCAGAAGCTCCTGGCTCCCTGGCTTCAGATAAGCTCAGCTCTGGCTGTTGGGGTCATCTGGAGGATGAACCAGTGGATGGAAGATTCATATTCTCTCTCTCTCTCTCTCTGTAATTTTGCCTTCCAAATAAATAAATAAATCTCTTTAAAAAAAGATTCCTGTGCTCTCAAGAGTCTCTCATCCTTAAATTTGTGAGGGTTTTGTTTGCATACATAAAAGCTTTAATGGGTAACAACCAGCGTATAATGCTGAAGTCAAATCACCCAAACTGTTAACAACTCTGTATGTGGACTCAGGTTTTGAATCTGCAGCCTTTGCTTTCATTTTGTATGATTTTTCTCATCTTGGTTCAGGCCAAAAAAACGGAATGAGCAATCAAATAGTATAAAGTGATATTAATTATGAAACATACAAAATACAGAAGAATGGGGTTGATGGTCTATTTTCACTTCAGAGGAGATGGCTTTGAAGCTACATGGTTATCTACAAGTGCTCAGAAAGTAGAATGAACAGATTTCAGCAAGAATCAGTTGATAATGGCAGGAGGTCTGAGTGTCTTTGTTTTAATAATTCACTAGTTTATTCTAAAGGATCCAATAAAGAATAACCAAATGGAGAAAATGCATAGAGCAAGGAATGGGTGCATCTGGAGGCATGGAGCTTGGAGTTTTATGCCCTGTCCAGGCATGCTGCCTTGATGTGTATGTCAGCACAAAAGCTCCAAATCAGGTCCTTAAAGAATGTTTTGGACATGGTCAAAGCTCACTAGAAATCATGAGGTGAGAGCAATATACCGAGCAACCGTATGTATGATCCCAACCAGAGATTTTCTCGGTTGCATGATTGTACAGCATTCTTCATATCATTCAGGATTTTCACAATGCTCTTGGAGCAAACGTGGGATACTCTTTTGACCAGCAAAGCACATTTGTACCTGCTCACAAACTCAACACAGGATCCCACTCTACTCTGACTGAGCACGGGGGCTCAGCCTCGGCTAAGCAGGGCACTGCTCTGCTGGCCTTCCCACCCTGTTCTCATCCGAGGAGGAAGCTGAGCCCTAAAGCCGTCCTTCCCAGCTTTTGTGGGGCTGGTTCCTGGGATCCTCTCAGGACACACACTAGCTCTGCCTCAGCAGTGGGCCAGCAGGCAGCGGCGGGGGCACCCCCAGGATGGGGGTGGGGCAGGAGCGACATACCATGATCTTGGCAATGCAGTCTTCCGGGGTCTCTGCCGATTCACACTCTATTAACCCTCCACTGGTAACGCTCCACTCATCACACTTGAGCCTCTCGTGGTGGCTCAGAGCGCACCACTTCACCGCCTTGCACTCATCCTGTAAGGGGTCTGGGCCTGTGGCATTCGAGAAAGAACCAGAGGTTAGAAGGGAGGCCCCCGGGCCGGCACCGTGGCTCACTTGGTTAATCCTCCGCCTGCGGCGCCGGGTTCTAGTCCCAGTCACTCCTCTTCCAGGCCAGCTCTATGCTATAGCCCGGGAGGGCAGTGGAGGATGGCCCAAGTCCTTGAGCCCTGCACCCCATGGGAGACCAGGATGAAGCTCCTGGCTCCTGGCTTCAGATTGGCGTAGCACTGGCCATAGTGGCCATTTGGGGGGTGAACCAACAGAAGGAAGACCTTTCTTTCTCTCTCTCTCTCTCACTGTCTATAACTCTACCTGTCAAATAAATAAATGAATAAATATATTAAAAAAAAAAAAAGAAAGGAGGTCCTGACTGCAGTGTGGCGGGCATTAATGCTGCTCACTGTCCTAACGTTCTGGAGTTTACAAGGGAAAACCAGAGAGATCCCATTCAGCGATTTCATCGTCAGAAAGCAAAGTCACTACAGAATCTCTTGGTTGCCTTCTTACTCAGATTTGGCTTTTCTCTTCTTCTGAGAAGCCAACTCTCCAGCCTTGGAGCGCTCTAGGACTTGTGACTGATTTTTCCCTTCTTTTTCAGATGGTGCTTGATCACCTGCTGTGCTCTCATCCTATGTTCATAGTTTATTCTTGGTTTCCTGGCAGAACATCTGCTCCAACCAGGACAGGGCCTGGGGAGTCTTGTTCACACTTGGCTCAAGAGTCACTTGCTTGGGAGGCCTGGCCTCAATCCCTAGGCCAGGGTCCATTTTTTTTGCAATACGTTCTCAGAGGACCATGGTATTTTGCTGTCATTTTTTTTTTCCTTCTGAGCAAGTGTTTCATTAGGTAATTGATCATTCAATTGTGTGACTATTCTTTTAGCATTGTCTTTTCCCAGATCTGAGAGTTCCAGGACAGAAGAATGGTCCATGTCTAGCACCTCAGAGTTTATGGCTAGATGTTCAACAAATGTTTGTTGAATGAATGAATGATTTAAAAAACAAACAAACCATGATCCAATGAAAGCCAGGACTGGAATTGCCCGGTTCCACCACGGCACAGGCTGACCCTCATAGAGGGTCATCATAGAGATGTGCAATCTGGAGAAACCTCATTTTGTTTTCCCTACTTTGTGCCAGGCTAATTGATTCCACCCAGTGGGCTGGATGATCCTGGACTTATGCATGGGCGATACAGCTAGCACCTGGCCCAGGCATTTAAAGTGTTAATTTCCTTTAAAGCCCCGGCTGGTGTCCAGGCCACTCCAAGATAACTAATGCCAATCAGCATCAGTCTAACACTGGGTTCACTGTTAGGGCAGACAAAGGAACATCAGGAAAGGCGTTCAGACACCTGGGGAGGCTCCGTCGCTGGTCCTTGCCCTCACCCGTCTCCCCAAGCCCCTCTGCTTGCCAGGCCCTACCCCAGCACTTACATATGCCTTCCCGTAGGTTACGAACGGCGGTGACGTACTCATAACCCAGGTACAGGTTGGCGTCCATCCTGGGGGGAACTTTAAAAAACCCATAGGCTGAGTCCTTAAACAGCAGGTTCTTCCCATGAGGAGAGCTGAACAGTTGGAAGTCTCCCGATTTGTCTTTGCCGAAATGTTCCTGTTCACAGTAGAATGGGAGCATGAATGGCCATAGGGAAAAATGAAAAACTTCAGCTGTGGTGCTGCACACCCAGCACCAGTCCTCTGGGGACCAGGCCGGACCCTAACTTCCTGAGCAGACGTCTGGGCCTGTCTGCCAAACTGGGTTGCAAGAACACGGAGGGAAAAAAACATGTCTCGTTCCGAGGCCAGCATGCACGGTTGCCTCTTAAACTCTGGACAGAGGGAAGGGCTGGGCGAGTGGCTCCCTGTGCAGTCAGGGCGACAGCCCCTGAGGAGAGGTTGCTTCCTTTGGAGGGGGAGTCACTGGACAGGGAGGTTTGCCTGGAACAGAACAGTATGGAGCCTCTTGAGCCATCACTGGCTAAAGGTGGCAGCAGAGCTGATGCCTGCTGCTCTGTGCGGAGTCCCAGCTGGGGACTTTGAGAGAAGCTGATGGTGTGTGGCACGGTTCCCGCTGTGCCTTGAACACACAGGACGTCTACGGTGGCAAGAAGGCAAGGAGGAGAGTCCCCAGATCCAAGCAGGGAGCAAGTAGCAGAGGGAGACAGCAGCTGGGGCTACCTGGGCCTGGTTCAGAAGCTCCCAGATCAGGTCCTCCTTGCCGTCCACACTTCGGGCCACGACTGCATGGGAAGGGACCCGAGCCAGGTGGCACTGCTCATACTCGTCCACTGGCTTCCGGGTGTTGTCCAGGCACAGCAGCTCATACTGATCCCTCTCATCCTTGCTGGGCAGGTTCTCTGGGGGAGGGAAAGCGTAGATGAGCTGAGGGTGCTGCCTCCCTACCCTTGGAATCCCATGGATTGTGGAAGGTACAAGCCAAGAGCCTTGGCACGATCACTAGGCACCAGGGAACATGCAGGAAAGTGACTTCCTCAAGACAGGGAGGCCTCTGATGCTACCCATGCCCTACCATGAGTCTGATCTCCACAGGCCAAGGTCAGCCAGACCAGCCCCTCATCGTTTGCTATGGCACCACTGCTGCAGGGATAGTCACTGCATGGAGACGCTGGACCAGGGAAAGAGGGCCAAGGACCCCCCAGGTACCCTCCCTCTGCATGGCTGGAGCCGTGTGCTCACATCCCACCACTGAGCATGAGAAAGGGGGCAGGAGAGAAGAATGCTCACCACTCGGAGAGCACCTGCTGGCTTCTGTCACTTACCAAATATGGTCTCTTGCTTGACAAAGGCCACATCCCCAAGACCATCCTTCAGACACCTGTGCAAAAGGAACATTTTTAGGGCGGCTCCCATAGGACAGGCCCTTCTCCTCACCCTGGAGGTTCTGGCCACACTGTCACACAAGGGTAGAGTCTGGGGGAGGCCTCTGGGTGGGCCCTACAGCTGAGGCTGACATCAGGAGACCACCAAGATGGGGGAGGCTGCAGTGAACTGACACGAGATAAAGGACCCACCTTACACCCCAAAGCACAGGAAGCAATGGAAGCTATTTTCATGTGGAAAAGCTTTTGTAAGCTCCTGGAATAGAAAATAAGGCAGTGGTGCCTGCTAAGGACGGACATGAGCCCTTGCCTGGCTATACAATGCAAGCATTTAATCCAGATAGAAAGAGGCAGCAGGAAACCAAGCACGGGAAACTGGCAGGATACAGTGGTGGGAGACAGGCCTGTACGCTGAGCCTGTATCACTGTGAAGAGTGGGCTCAGACATGCTTGTCCTTTCAGACCTGGCTTGGTCCAGTGAGAGGAGGCACTGGCCAGGCTCAAGGGCTCCGGGGAGAGAAAAAGGCCCCCAAGAGAGGAAGGAGAACGTGGGCTGGCTGGCTTCAGGCGTCCGAAGCTGAACTACGGGTCTACTGGGAGTGATCAGGCTTCCTGGATAGCCTGGTACGGGGCAGGGTACTGCACTGGGCCAGTGCTGACCTCTCACTCTAAGGACACCAGCACCTTGGCCACTAGGTGGCAGCAGTCTCACTTACTTGAAGGCGCCGGAGTAGCCGAAATACGGCTGAACGGAGGAGCAGCCACACCCTGGGCACAGCTGACACAGCTGGGGGAAGTCCGCACCATCCGCACAGGGGACACAGCTGCCCGAGAAGAAACTGGCCACTGCTGCTCAACACAGAGAGACAGACCACAGGGCATGAGCGAGCCTGGCCGCGGGCAGGGACACCTCCCAGCCTGGGCCCATTAGGGAACAGAAAGGGACTAAGCCCAACACGGCAAGCCCAGTCCCAGCTCACCCTTACCTATGCTGCTGCATCAGAATTGAGGGACTCCAATCAACAGCGAGTGAACCCCTGTGCTGTCAACACCCAACCAAGGAAACAGACCTGGACTTCTCACCAGCTAAGATCTGCCTCCAGGCCTCGTCAGAGGGGCCCTGTGGGACCCGTGCCCTAGAGCTGGGAGGACCACCCGGAGAGGTGCGGGTCAACCTCACGGCCATTAGATGGCCATCAGAACAACCTCTGGTGGAACAGCACACACATCAGCACAGGCAGCAAAGAACTCCAGGGAAAACAAGTGGGCCCGGCCACTGTGGTGCACCCTGAAATCCTCCACCACGCCCTCTGGCCTTTCCTCCACGCCCCCCAGGACGGTTCTGGGAGCGCAGAGCAAAAAGGGCCCAGCTGTTTCCTCCCAAGGGCACCATGCAGACCTGCCAGCTCCAAGCCGGCTAGCCTCCCTGCCCACCCTGGAGCTCTTCCCACATGTTCAGCGGATGGAGACCGTGTGAGTCCAGGCTGGCCGAGGTGGGCATCTGGAGTAGGGGTGCCTGCCCGGGAGCACCCACCCTCTAGCCTGCTTACCTTTCTCCAGGGGCTTGCGTGGCTCCGGTAGGTCACAGTAAAGTAGGCCTATTGGGATGTTCCACCCGGCGGACCTGCCGAGGCCTGTGTGGCAGGACTTCTTGCCTTGGAGCTCGTTCAGCTGGAAGTTGCTGCCCTTTTTCACCAGAGCCACAGCATAGTAGAAGGTCTTTGGATCTGCGGAGGGACAGTGTGAATGCACGGTCCTCCGTCCCACACGGGGCAGCCCTGCTCATCACTACATACCCTTGAGGAGCGAAGGGGGGCCCAGAGGCCACTTATGTTGGGTGGTGAGGAAGAGTCAGGGATGCATCCTGGGTTTGCAGGGAAAAGACGAGCACGGGAGGTGCAGCTCTAATGAGCCCGCAGGCACACACAGTGGCAAAAAGGCTGCAGGCACGTGTGCCCCAGATGGCGTGCCTACCCTGGCCCTGCATTGCACCTGTCTACACCGACCAACCCAAGTCCACAGGAAACCGACGCTGTGGCAACAAGGCCCACATCCCCTCAAAGCCTTTCCAGGGAAAGACAGGTTATCACAGAGACGTGCAGGGCTGTTGGGGTCCCAGGGTGTGCTCCACAGGGGTCGCTCCCTGGTGCACGATGCCTGGACACAGCACTAGACCCCAGTGGCCTTCAGGTCAGAATGCACACAGCACGGCCTGTTCTGTCTCCTCAGTGAGCACAGTCCTGGCCCAGACAGCCCCCGGCTTCAAGCAGCCCAAAGCCCACAGAGGGACCCTCGTGCTCCCCTCACTCCCCGAAGGGGAACGCGCGTTAGTACTAACACAAGACTCAATGTCTACCCGGAGAGAACTTACTCTCTTTTGACCCATAGAACTCTGCTACTACAGGCTTCAGGTTGTTGGGAGTCAGGCCGGCCTCATGCACCAGACCCGCGTCCAGTGTCACGGCGTCCGCTTCGTGTGCCTGAAAAACAAGAGTCCAGGCCTCAAGGAGGCCCTTGCCTCCAAGGCAAGCTCACCAAAACTGGACAAGGCCGGCCTGACTAGTGAGGCTCCATGAGTCCAGGGCAGAAGACCCCTCAGTTTGGGCAGACTGCGCCCAGCATGGCTCCAGCACAGAGGAAGAGAGTTGTCCCTGCAGGTTGTCCAGCTCCTGGTCCAAACTCTACATGGGTGTGGCCTTGGAGGTTACAAAGGCTTGACCTGGCTGGCCTCCTGGGCGAAGCCGGTGCACAGCCAGGGCACTGCAGTCTCTGAAGAAGAGACCTACTGGCATTCCTAGCACGGCCGTCATTCACAGATTTCTTTACCCTGACACCTCCTACAAGGCCTTCCTCGGGAGGCTTTCTGGAAACTTCTTTCTGGAGGAGGAAGGAAGCCATGCAACACTTGTCTCCACTCTGACTCAGCACTCAATACTTTCCCTTCCTGTCTGGGTCCCGAAAACTGCTGAAGCCTGTGTTCAGAGATCCAGCACCCTCTCTGGGTTTAACTTCTTGGTTATGAAAGTTGAATATACCTTATCTGAAGTACTGGGGACCAGATGTACGTCAGGATCGGAATACCTGCACGCACACAATGAGATCTCTAGGGAATAGGACCCAAGTCTAAACAAGAAGCTGGTGTGTCTCCTGTACACCTCATACACATAGCCTGAAGGTAACTTTCTATGGCATTTTATCCATATTGGTTATGACCAACAGTCTCGTGATGTAGGGTTTTCCATTTGTGGCATCACGTTGGTGCTCACAAAATTTACAGCATAGCCGGTGAAGAATGCTCAACCTGTTCTATGTGCCGAATGGTAAAACACCTGATTATCACTGCCCCTTCCTGCCATCTCAGCTCCATTTCACAAGTGAGAAAACAGCGAGGGAAAGGTTAAAGTCGCTTCCCCAGGGCTCAGAGCAAGGAAGTCATGGAGCTGGGATTTGAATCTACTACTACACTGTTACATGGGTTATTATTAGTATTGTTATTATTTTACTTTGTGCTTCTGTGAACCCTCATCTTAGATCAGTGGGTCATGTTTAGTATTATCACTACCTTCCCCTTAGGCCTGTAATTTATTTTCTCATTACGTGAATTCTAAAGTGAACCAAACTGTCTCTTTTATATAGACACTTAAAAGAAAAGAGTTTGGGTCTGGTGCTGCCTGCAGTGCTGGCATCCCATATGGGTACTGGTTTGAGTCCCAGCTGCTCCTCTTCCAATCCAGCTCCCTGCTAGTGGCCTGGGAAAGCAGTAGAAGATGGCCCAAGTGCTTGGGCCCCTGCACCCTTATGGGAGACCTGGAAGAAGCTCCTGGCTTCAGTTCTGGTCGTTGCGGCTGTTTGGTGAGTGAACCAGCGATGGAAGACCTCTCTCTGTCTCTCTCTCTCCCTCTCTCTCTGTAACTCTGCCTCTCAAATAATAAATAACACTTTAAAAAAGAAAAAAAGCGAACTTTTTCTCCTTGTTTTTGCTTCAGATACCTTTAAGCAAAATGAGTTTCCCAGAAACTCTTGCCAGTTCTCTATGATCTATTCTTACTGATCAAATTACAAGGCAAAAATTGTCATGTTACAGGTAGACAACAATACAATACTATTTCTAAATGAAATAAAACACTGATGTAAGCCAAACTGTCTTTGGCTTTAACACTTTTTATAACAAGGTGGTTTTCATTTTGTTATAACCAAATGCATATAACACATTTCCCATTTTAGCCATTTTTAAGTGGCGTTTGGCACAATGACCCTGTTTGTAACCATCACCACTATCCACCTCCAGAACTTGCTCGTTGTTCCTTACAGAACCCTGTTCTATCAATCAGATACTTGCAGCCCCATTGCTCTGCTTCTGTTTCTAGGACTTTAACGACCTCGGCACCTCGTGGGCGAGGAATCACAGAGAACTTGTCCTTTTGTATCCGCTCACCTCCCTTAGCTTTCCACCTGCATCTGCAAAGCAGCATGCATTACCATTTCATTTATTCTGAAGGCTGAAAACTATTTCATTGTATGTTTCTAACAGATTTTGCCATCCATGCAGTCAGCAATGGACATTTTTGCATTATAAAAACATATTTTAGTATGACAAAACAAAACAAAATTTTCATAAAAAAAATAATTGGTACATCCACTTGCAGTATCATAAAGAGCTAGGAGACCTGGAGGATCTCTTTTCCCAAACAGCTAGACCCAGGATATGAAACGCTCTTTGTGGCTTTGTCCAAACCTGCAGGTACCCCCCTACTACACCTCAAATCACTGAATAAAAATGAATAAGCAAACAGGAGCTTTTCCCCGTGCAGTGGAGTTGGGGGGAGTGGTCAGGAATCTGGGTTTTCTTGGCCGAGACCCCATTGCCTCTGGTGCTAAGGAAGGCAAGGAGCCAGGTTGCAAACAGGGGGGGCCAGCGCTAGCAGCAGGGATTCCCAGGGGGAACCTGACCCAGGAGGAGGACAGAGATCAAACCAGGCATGACCTCAGGGGGCTGGATGACCAAGCCCAGCAGAGGAGCAGCAGTGAGTGGACCTTGAGGAAGCCATGCAGGAAGGGACTGGAGGCAGGAGGAGACACTCAGCCAGCCCGCTCTGCACACCCCAGTGCTGACTGCTCCAGGTGAGCCAGGCTCCCAGGGGCTGAGTCTGCCTCCCCCCCCCCAACCCCTCCTGCTTGCTTAGCTCTCAGGGTGCAGTCCTTTCTGCACCTGACAAATCTGCCCAAACTCCTGCACTAAGAGATTTGACCATGACTCCAGCAAGGCTTAGGGTCAGGTTCCTAGGCTGGCCCAGCCCTCCTTCGTGCGCCTGCTTGAGAAAACACAATCTACCGGAAAACTGGCTGTTTCTTCTAACCTATATGCAACTAGCAACAGCAGGCCCCTGGCCTACTTTCCCAACAGCATGTCCTTCGAAGGGCTCACGACTGGAATATGTATCTCCTGCATCTCAGCCATTTGGGGAGTGAGCCAGTGGATGGAAGACCTCTCTCTGCCTCTATAACTCTGACTTTCAACTGAATAAATAAATCTTTTAAAAAAATGTTCCAAACTGGCGGCCAATGTGTGGATCTTCCACTCTCGTCCGGTTGGCAGCCACTTACCGCGATGGCCTTGATGCAGTCCAGGTAGGAGGCCTTCTTCACACAGATGATACGGGGGCCATCCTCTGGAAGGACTTTTTTCATACTGTCCCGGAAGTTGGCGCACTTGCTGGCCTCGTGATCATTCACGGCGCACCATCGCACGGTCTTCTCCGTGACGGCCAGACACAGCCCTGAGGGAGAGAGCACGGACGTGTGAGGACCCCACCTCTGTCCTGTCCTCTCGGTCACTCGTGGCCTTGGACACTGCAGTGCATGGCAGCCACTGCCTTTCGAGACTGGCCCAAGAGGAGGGTGCTCTGTTTCCCGCTGACTACCCTGTGCTGGCTGGAGCTCCTCCTGGGGGCCGAAAGCACACTCCCTGCACTCTCCCTGTGCCCTGCCCTCCCTGGCCTGGTCCTGGCCTGCGTGGGGCCTGAGCCTCAGTGTGCACACAGCCTTGGTAGCTACTCCCGCACACGGACTTGCTACCACCACCTGGGAAGCGCAGGGATCGCCATGTTGCAGACCAGAGAATGGTGCTCTTGGCACAAAGTCATCCTGCTTGGCAGTGGCCACGCCAGGCTGGGAAGCCAGGTCTTTTCAGCCTCTCGGTCTGCTGCCCAAGGCATGGGAGAGGAGACTATTTCCAAGTTACTGCGCCCCTCCTCCGCCAGCAGCTGGAGGCAAAGGAATGAAGAGGTAATGCATTTGCCTGCTTGTCTGCCACCTGCTGGTGAGAGATTAACAGTAAACTCCAGCCAGCCAGCACCGTCCCGCCCTCCTTTGCTTTCCACCATTCCTTTTGGCCAAAGCCAGGCGTGTGGAGAGCTATTAGAACCCATGGGGTGGTATGGGGCTGGTGTTGTGATATAGCGGGTACAGCCCACCGCCTGCGGTGCCGGCATCCCATATGAGCACCAGTTCAAGTCCCAGCTGCTCCAGCTCTCTGCTGTGGCCTGGGAAAGCAGTAGAGGATGGCCCAAGTCCTTGGGCCCCTGCATCCGTGTGGGAGACCCAGAGGAAGCTCCTGGCTCCTGGCTTCAGATCAGCACCGCTCCGGCTGTTGCAGCCATCTGGGGAGTGAACCAGCGAATCCATGGGGTGGGGAAGTATTGTTCCTATCAGAGGAGCTTTAGAGCCTCTGCCATCTCAGTGCCCTGCGGGCCAACACAGCAGGAGCTGGTTCAGACGGGCTCTGATGCCCTGCAAAGCATGAAGGGAAGTGGCCAACTGCTCTCCCGGAGGGACAAGGAGGGACCTTGGGGACTGACTGCCCCTTTGTTCCACCTCAGCCCCTGAGAACTCACAGGATGGGGGCTCCTTCCCGGGAAGCTCCCCACCCCTCAGGGTTCCCACAGACAAGAATGTGTCCCCAGCCATGCAGCCTCCAGCACTACCCTTGCCCTGAGGAGGGCAGAGGTGAGGAATGCTGGGCTGTGGCTCCGGGAGCTTGTAGTTTCCAGGGAGAGCAAATTGCTCAAGGGTCCAGTGTGGTGTGACAGAGGCCCCACAGGGGGCAGGCAAACAAACAAACGTCAGAGGCAAAGGTCAGGGACCCAACAAACTGGGAGGTGGGGGTGGTCAGCAGCAGGCCTCCCGCGGGGGCGGGGCGGGATGTGTACCCCAGCGGCCTCCACAGAGACCTGGCCCTCACCTGAGCCTCCCACGCAGGTGCTGTTACGACCGGGCTCACGTGGGAGAAGCCAGGCAGGGACCCAGACCCAAGCGGTGCGGCCTCACACCCCATGCTCTGAACCTCCACCTTAGCCGGAGGGACCTAGACGTGGTCAAGAGCGCGTGGAACGGCGGACCCTGGAAGGGCACGGGGCAGATCCGGGGCGCTGGGGATGCTGTGATAAAAAGTCTGGGTTTGGATACGCGGTGATGGGAAGCGCTCTGATTTAGCGTTCTCCCGGGCTGCAGGGGTTAGCGCTCCGATAGGAGGCGGCGGCCGGCGCTCAGCTCAGGGCAGGGCTGTTCCTAGGGCTGCCGAGACCGCGAGGCACCTGCAGCCCGAGTGCGGGGGGCGCACGGGCGCCCCACGGCGCGGCGCCGCCCAGCGGCAGTGCCCGTACTCACTCACCCAGGGCGGCGCAGGCCAGCAGGGCGCCTGCGGCGAGCCTCATCTTGTAGCTCAGGGGTGGTGGCGAGGAGCGGCGAGCGCTGACCGACCCGCTTCTGCGCACCCTGCCCGCGCCCCGCGCCCCTTTATCGCCGTTGGGGCGGGCCAGGCGCGATCTTTGACCTCGCGTGTTTGCGCAGCGCGGTTGCCCAATCGGCCCTCGCCCGTCCCACTCTTCCTTCCTCGCCCCCCTGGTACATTTCCTGCTGGACCGGAGCGTGGGATCCAACACAAAAGTGCTCTGAGAACGGGAACAAAGGAAAACCCACCCCCTGCCGTGGCGGCTCGCTCGGTGCCAGGACGCTGGCTGCCGCGGGCTGGAGCCGGCGGAGGCTCTGCTCTTGGGGCCCGCGCTGCCCGAGCCCGCTGGACCCATACGTGGAGACCAACTCCGGCCTGCGGGGGCCCCAGACTCGAGCCCTTCCAGGGGAGAGAGGTCTAGGAGGGCAGAGTAGGCATCCCGCGTGCTCCCGGGCTCCGCCATGCCCAGCCCTGACGGACGGGCTCAGGCTGCTGCGCTGGAGGCTCGCGTCCTGCCCTCACGCCTGCCCTGGGGCCCCTCGGCCGGCCGGGGACGGAGCAGCAGAGGAAAATGAACTCGCGCAGGAGGCGGCCGGGAACGGGGCTGGGGCACGGGGAAGCTGGGAACACAGGGCCCTGCAAGTACAGAGAGAGCAGCGCAAGGGCGGATCTGGCCAGTTCCTGAAGTCCTCTGTGTCCTTCTGTCCCTCTCCAGCCCGGGAGTCCCCAAACCATTCTGACTGTGCATCGTTATCACGAGAGAGATTGCGCCTCTGCTGTGTAGACATTTTTTTTTTTAACTAAAAATTTTGTGCATTTCAATCATGTGCAAGGAGTAAAGATATATGAAAGGATGATTATTTGTTTGAGAAGCAGCGAGAAAGAGATGGCTCCTGTCCACTGGTCCGTGCCTCAGCTGTCCAGGAAGGCTGCAGCTGAGAGTTAGGAACTCAATCCGTGCCTCTTGCAGGGGTGGCAGGAACCCAGCTTCCTGAGCTGTCATCACTGCTCCTGCCCGAATCCAGTACAGGTACTCCAGTGTGAGACGTGGGTCCTGACCGGGTTTCTTAACCATTAGACCCAACACCCACCCCTGCGCTTTAAGTGTCCTTTTACTTGTACTCTCTTATGTATGATGAATCTCAAGGTACAGCATGTACTGGGGGAAGATCAAGGTTCTGTAGGCAATGTGGAAATCTAGATTTCAGGGTATCATTAAGATAGTTGCAGCTTTTCCAAAAGTTATTCCTATCTGGTCTGCCTAGGTGGTCCCTGCTTCTGCCTCATATTTTAACTGACGAAGAGCTTATTCCAGGCCTGGGAGAAGTAGCTTAGTTTGTGCTTGTTATCAGAATTTTCTTCTTTTAAAAAATATTTATTTAATTAGTTACTTGAAAGAATCACTGAGGGGGAGAGAGAGAGAGACAGAGAGAGGAAGAGGGAGAGTGAGAGGTGCATCTTTGTCCCTCATTGGTTTACTCCCCAGATGGTCACAACAGCCAGGGCTGGGCCAGACCAAAACCAGGGACCTGGAACTCCATTCTGTTCTCCCACATGGGGGGCAGGGGCCCAAGTGCTTGGACCATCTTGGATTGCTTTCTCAGGCGCATTAGTAGGGAGCTGGATTGGACAGTGGAGCAGTTGATCCTCAAACCAGCATCCTAAGCTAGGGCTTAACCTGCTGTGCCACAATACCAGCTCCAGAATTTTCTTCTAATTCTGGTTTCTTTGCAGGGATTTTTTTTTTTTTAAGTTTTATGTATTTATTTGAGAGGCAGAATTACGGAGAGAGACAGGAGAAACAGAAAGGTCTTCCATCTGTTGGTTCATTCCCAATGGTCTCAACCACCAGAGCTGGGCCCATCCGATGCCAGGAGCCAGGAGCTTCTTTCAGGTCTTTCACATGGGTGCAGGGGCCCAAGCACCTGGGCCATCTTCTACTGTTTTCCTAGGCCATAGCAAGAGAGCTGGATCAGAAGTGGAGCAGCCAGGACTCGAACCGGTGCCCATATGGGATGCCGGTGCCACAGGCGGAGGCTTAATCTACTGCACCACAGCCCTGGCCCCCTAGGGATATTTTTTTTTAACACAGTTGTCCATCTTGTGAAAGTTGGAGAGTGAATCCCACATTATGTCATCTGAATACCCGTTACTCAGGCACACATGAACCACAAGACATGGACACGAAGATGCCAGAAATGAACACCGAGGTCTGGGCACCAGAATCACTCGGCGCCCCTTTGACAGCCCACCCCTCTGTGCAGAGATTCCATTCTTCAGAAGCTTCACTGGACCTGCTCCTGCCCAGCCCTTCCCCCCTGGTGGGGACCTGGGGCCACTCCCCATGGAATGTGAGTGCCTGCTAATTTGTTAATCTTACTGCAGTAACAATAAATATAACTGAAGCTGGGGATGGTCTCTCCAACCCCAATAGGCTGTGTCACACACAAAGGGACAACACGCATCCTATGTTAGAGGTCCTTGCTTTAGTTGG